CTGCAGAATATGCCAAAGTCAAAGCTAGGGTCACTTTTAGGGATGATTTTATTTGCACCCAGACTTCTTCTGTATGATGGTGTTGAGTATCTGTCTCCTCTGTAATTTGCAATGAAAAACCTTGGTTGTGTGAAGCTTCCCCCCTTCAGCAAGTCTCAAAAAATACAGGCAAACAAGTGGAGAAGTTAGCCTAAAATGCCTTCTGTGTGAAGAGCTCTCTTTTTGTTGAGCATAACCACAAATAGTATGTCCCAAGCACAGATGGCTATTGGAGAACATAAGATAAGGCCCATGCTGACAGAGAGTGTGAACAAGCAATATGGTTGTGCCTCTACTTTTTGATTGCTCTAAACGAACTACTGAAGTTAATTAGTGAATCTAACACTTGAAACAGATGTGACCTGAAAAAACCCAATCCCCAATAAGTAAATATTGTTGATAGTATACTATGGTCTCAGAAGCATAGCTACTTTGCCATAATTACATGAAAATGCATTTCTCAGTTCAGAAAGTACAAATGGAAATATTTCATGAGAGATGGAATAAGAGGCAGGGTGACATGGAGATAAAAAGGAGCTGATAAATATGTAACTGCTTCTTCCACTCTGCAGCAGACAGTGATATTCCCGTGCCATTCAGTGAGCCAAAGTTCCTGCTCTCAGGGAGAGATTTAGTCTTTTTCCACAGAGGAACTGCTCCCAGTTAAGTGTGTCCACATAAATAGCTGTAGCCAGTGAACAGGTCTGAGATCAGTCCATTGCTGTAGTCTTTACCTGTGTAAATCTCAGAAGCAAATTAATGGACTTTGGAGGCAACTGAGTTTGGAACATGGCTTACTGAAAAGTTATACACTGAACAAAACTCCACAGCTCAAGTTCTGAATAAGTGTTCTTTTTTTATAGACCAAATTTTCCTTCAGAAAAGAGAGTTAAAGTAGACCAGATGACACAGCCTGCTAAAGGATGCTGTGATGATAAATTGGAGACCAGCCAATAGTTCTGACAATAGCAATCTGAGGAGATGAGAATTTCAAGGTGGAGAGTAGGTTTCATGTCAGATTTTATCTTTTCTTTTGGGGGAGATATATATTCTTGCAGTCCTTACTGCAATTATACCTCCAGCTTTCACATACTATGAAATCAAGATTTAAACCATCCTACAAATAATGGATACAAAACAAGTATGAAAAACATAGAGATCTTCTCCCACCCAAAAGCTCACAAAAAATAGTTTCAGAAAAAAACATACCAATTTTGTTTGTTTGTAGTACTGAATACTGAATTTTGTAGATAGGTTGCCTTATCACTTCCATCTCTGAACAACTTGTCTTTATTTCTAAGTTGGCCTGTTAGTTAACTGCTCCTACAGGAAATGTACTGTTCTGTGTGCACTGGTGTTTAACATGCCAGTCAGCTGCCTTACCACAGCAACGACCAAACTCCTTGTATCTAGGCTGGTTAAAAAAAAACATAACAAAACAAAACACCACAGCATTTTGTAGGAAAGACAGAGACAAGCAACTTTCCAGCTGGTCATCCCTTCAATACCTTCTTTGCTTTTGGTGATAGAAAAAAAATATTACATATCAGAATCATCTGTTATGAAACAAAGCCAAGCCAAACAAGCACAGATTCGACCCTCGGAGTCTTAGGAGTGTAGATGAGTGAGGAGTTTGCCACTGTGAATGTAATCAATGGATTCAGCAGAGTCTGGCTTTATACTATTTATAGCCAAACCAGGGTAGCTGTGGTGATTTGCCATAAAAAATTTTGGATTAGCTACATCTGAATGAGGTTGAAGCCAGCAACTGAGCCTGAAGATAGAAGAAAAAGAGGAAAAATGGGAAAGGAGCTTGTAGAAAAAAAGATATTAAATTTGTTGTTGACTTAAAATTGTCTCATAACCTGACTTTCTGTTCTGGCTTTGGCTACAAGGAAAAGAAAATTCACTAGCAAATTATGTGCTAGGACATGTCTTTGTAGGTCATGAGAAAAATAAAGGAAAGAAATTTAAATACACCAGCACTTAAATTTTTTGTGGTATTCTGTATGATCTTTCTTTCCTCAGGTACTAGAGTCATCTGCCAGGGTTTTTTTGTTGGTTTTTTTTGGTGTGTTTTTCATTTTGTGGTGGTTTTTATTGTGTTGTTGGGTTGTGGTTTTTTTATTATTATTTTTTATTTTCCCCAAAAGAAACTATTTGCCATTTTAAAGATCACCCAATTAAAACCTTCCCTCCACTATTTGTCATTCTTTGTTGAATGAATCTAAATAACTAGGAGTTTCCATTCCTCCTAGATAGAAAGAAGTATATAAATGTCTGTCTGTTATAAATAAGTTGTCACAACCCCCATGCCCCCCAAGAAATACTTGAAACCCACAGCAAAAAGGACACTTCAGCTTGAATGTTACTCTTTGTTTTCCATTTGATTGTGTATTTCAATCTCAGTTAATTACTTGGCTTCCAAATGTAAAGCCTGTCCAGTTCTTTCCAATGTAATATTTAATATTCTGCCTTTCTACATCGTCTTCTTAAGGATACAGATTGTTCTCATCATTCAGTTTCTGCACATTTGCAAATACAGTTGCACAGATTGGGAGCCTTATGCTTCTTTTCGTGGCCTTTAATCTCTTCCTTTAAAACTTTCAAATTTCTGTAGTCTCTTTGCTCACAAATGCAATAAACCCATCCTCCCTACAGGTTTTAAGACAATCCCAGATTATGTGGCTAGGAGAGGCAGTAAGAGAATTAGAGCTAAGGAAGAAATCAGTCTTGTTCTCTAATGACTTCTTATTTTCTGCTGCTGATAGAGTGAGAAGATTAAATCTCTATCTGGAAATCTTGTGAGGACAATCTAAGGAAGGGAGAAGGATAAATGATTAGACAACAAACTTCTGCCAGCAAAGGAAAGCACAAATGTCATTCAACAAATGTTTGGAATGGAGGCACTGGTCAGAGGTAGCCTAAGCAGCAAATAAAGATGTAGTTGACACAATCGAAAAAAACTGGTTTTGGCAGATTGGCAAAGGCATCTGCCATCCCCCCTTCTACCAAAGCATTTTACAGAGCAAAACCAGAATTTAAAACTGTATTACTTAGAGGCTCAATGTGTGGGTCAAGCCTGTGACAGAGCAGGGCACGTTTCTTCAGATAAGCTAGTGGGTAAGAGTCCCAGTCTATGTGCAGATACACGTGTGTTTAAATTTATGACACTTATGACACTTGTATTTGAACCATGCACTAATTCAGAGCCTCAGCTAACCTGCTAATGTCCATTTAAGAGAAACCTCCATTATTTTATTTAAAGCTTAGAGATGATGGTGAAACGCCTCTTGTTCCAGAAACAGTTTAACTGATTTCATCAAGGGACTGCTCTGTATGTCTGAATTTGTTTAGGAAAAAAGCAAGCAAGGAAGCTTATAAAAAGTGAGCCATATTATATATATGAAATGTAACAGTTATTTTAAAGAATGTACCCCAGTTCCAAGAAAGGCTACTCCAGGGGAGGGCCTGTCAGCTCAGATCTATTCAAATAAGCAACAATTTTTTTCAAAATGAGGAGTGGAGAAAGAAAACAAGTACACAAAACGAGACGAGTTTCCCTTTGTTCTGTTCTTCTGCAGTTTCAGACACGTTCACATTTTGCATCCAGCTCACTAAGCATTCAGTGTTGCCTATTTTATTCCAGCACTGTTAACTACCAAGACAACTTAAATTGTAGAGTCAAACTTCAGCTTTTCATTTATTCAAATTATGATTTCCTGAGCGATGTTCTTCTCACCAGCTGCTGTATTTGTTCACCATAGTCCAATGCTCACTTTGAATGCTTTAAATGGGCAGCCACATTTCCTTCAGAAATAATAAAGTAGCATTCTTGTTACTGAATAGTTGCTGACATTTTGTATTTTTAACTATTCCTCTAGGATGAAATGAAATTAAGCGAGCAGAGCATTCACTACATTTATTTAAAAAATAAATAAATAAAATTTATGCTTCCTGGAAACCTTAGCTAAAGAACATTGTGCCCCAAAGGAAAAAAATCACATCATTAGTTTGTTACTGATCTTGACAGCGTGTGCACGACTTCCCTGAATTTTACAGCACGAGTTCATGATAGCCTTTTAGCCAGTCACTATTTCCAAGTCCCAGAATCATGGGGAGAAATTTATTATCGGCATTGCATAAGTCACATGGGTTTCTAAGATGCCTAAATAATTAAATTATGGACACAGGCACAGATGTATACTGTGCTGCAGATGCAAATGACCTGCATTTTCAAAATATACCCATCATTTGCTTTGCATAGAACAAGAGGCTCGATGTTCAAAACCAGGTCCTAAAGGATTAAAATGAAAATAAGCTCTGTGTGTGCACAAATGGATCGTGGAAGTTTCCAGGTTCCACTGAGAGCAGTTTAACTGAAATTTTGATTCTCAGTAAAACAGCAACTTTGCCTTATTGTCCTTAGACTGAAAAGGCTAGAAGCACAGAGTCCAGAAAGCCAGATTTTTTACACAGTGATGGAATCTAGTTCAAAGATGAGAGAACACAATAAAACCAATCCTAGTGTTGACTTCATTGTTTGTGACCAAAGCCTCCATTCCAAAAGGCATGAGGAGGAACAGTGGTGTGAGCAGCAGGTGCTGGACACCATGTGTTGTGTTTAACAGTCCGCTGTCTCTTGATCTGACACAGTGTGTCATTCCCAAAAAAAGTCTGTGGCATAATTCACTTGAACAATTGTTAATCTCACTTAGGAACACCTTGCTTATGTATCATCCTGAGAACACCTCTTTCCTTCCCTTTGATGTCTTTAGTAGGCCAGAGAACGTGACTGTGTCCCTGCAAAAACCTGGTATCTTACATCAGAAGCTGTTCAGGCGCAAGCCTAAAATACTCTATATTGCACAAGTCATTTAAATCACTTGTAACCATTATTCCAGGTGGATTTTGTAAGGGTGTTGTTCCGTTGCAGTGCTGAATTTCTTTAACTCCTGCAGATTTTTGACAAAGAAGCTAAAGATCTGGAGCGCGAGGTCTGCTTCATTGATATTGCCAGCGACGAAATTCCTGAGCGCTACTACAAAGAATCAGAGGTAAGAGACAACTTCATTGGGAAACGGTGAAGAAGGGAGTGTAAGAGGCTGCAGTAAAGCCTTGAATCAAAACATTCCTATTTTTGTATGAAATCCTGCTGGTCATTAGTATTTAAAAAGTTTTCAGTTAGAGAAAAAGCAGATAGCAACCTTTCTATCTAGACTGCCCAACACTTTCTTTAGTAGATGATTCCTCTGACTGAAATACTTTCATACCCTTATCAGAACATATCCTGTACCAGACCTTTGCTGTTCAGCTGAATTAGTTCAAACTAGAAAAGGACCTTGTCTTTGAATCACGGAGCTCAGTGAAGTGTTTGCAGCTCTGAGCAGTTTTGAACATTGCTGTTGTCCTTACTGCATCCTGCCCCAGCCAGTGAGTCCTGGGAAGGGTCTCACCCAGGCCAAGGACAGACAGGCTGCAGTGGGAACAGGGCTGATGCACAGTTGCTCATGAGCGACTGTGACACAAGACCAAGAGGGACTGAAGCGTGTGCTACATCCTGCAGCAAATCTGCCAGAGAGCATCAATGGCAGCAGATGCATTCGGTCTCTTAAATTTCCCTTGGACATTGCTCCCATGTATATTTGATGGTGCAGCTCTCTGAAGGGCACGGGTTTTTTAGGTCAGTGCCGTTCACTGTTTAAAATCAGCAGCCACCATGCAAATGAAGATGAGGTCCCAATGCCTTGAAAAATGATGGTTCACAACAAGTAGCTAGAAAAGAATGATAAGATCTATCCTTGCATTTAATTTTGGAGATATGGTTTGCCTCTGGAGCCAAGTGTATCTTCATAGCTGGCAATGAGTATGGCAGCTGCTTGACTATACAAAACGAGACTACATAACCATTTTTAGGATAGCAAATGAAGACTTGCCAATGAATATATTTTTATACCATAAGAGACATGGTTTGCAGACTAAAAAAGTCAGGTACTTGTTATCTTCCATTTATAGAGCCTATTTCAAATTTTATGTATGGGTCATAAAATAAAATTGCATCTACAGTATAATGAAAAGTAATTTTATTCATTTCCTTAGATAATGAAACCCATCTGTTTAGTACCAAAAATTAAGTAACACCTCATGAAATAGCTTATTGGTCCCATCATCTTATCTGAACTCCACGGTCTTCTGGTTCCGTTTAGGAATGACTGCTGCTATTGAGCAGGTCAGCATTTGACTGTGTTTACAGAAATCATGTAAGATTTTTCATCTCTCTGTGTGTGCACTTCCAGAAATTGTAAAGGTGAAGGTAACTTCTAGCTTTTCAGCTTTCCTTCCCATTTTTAACAGCCAGCTATTAAGCATAGTTTCCATATGATTAATCTTATGATATAGACAACCAGCCTCGTAGTAAGTGAGAAAAGAATTTCCTTGTCTTTGTGGTGTTCTTCTTTGTGTACTTCAAAGACAAATCTAGAGACCCGATTCCAAGCAAAATGGAATTTTTGATGGGTTTAAACAACAAAAATAACCCAGCATCTGTTGTTTTTTTGTACTGACGGCTGATTTGAATGTTGGCTAAATTCTGTTTCAGAATGCACATGGAATAGTAAGAACACCTTAGCTTTTAACTGTGCACATACTGTAACTGATACAGAATTAATAATAGCTGAATTCAGTGTCTTCCAAACTTCACAAACTATGGGGTTTTTATGCTACCATATGATGAACATGAAGCCAAATTCCCATTTCTGATGAGGGCTCTTACATAATTCAGGGACTATAAAAAGATTTTTAATGTTTGTAAATGTAATTTCCGTCTGTTTTCTATCAGAACAGAATAAAAAAGTAAGTGTGTAAATGAGGAATGGTCTGTGCTTTCCAAAGAACAGTTTCAGAAATAACTAAAAAACATTTGCTGTAAGCTTTTGAAAGGTATTTTAGTTACACTAATAACAGCAATTTGGTTTTAAATCATTTAATCTGAATTGATGCTAAGTTTAAAGATTAAAAGTGAAGTACAATCCTCAGGATTTAAGAATGAGATCCCACAGGATAAGTGTTCTCACTCCCATCCAGAAAGACCAGTGAGACTGATTTAAACTTCAGGCATGTTAGTAATCGCTTCATTTCAGTGGATTTTTCACATGCTTAAAATGAAGCAAGTTCTGTATCAGGGTCAGCAGACTTAGCAGCTTCTGCAAATGAGCTTTAAATTTATTTTCTATCCTATTTCTACTTCTATCCTATTTCTTTTTATATCCTTTTATATCTTGCATCCCTCTTCAATTAAAAATGTTTCAGTTTTTGACAGCTGATTTTATTATTTAGTTGTATTACTGCATATTAGAGAGGTAGTTAAATAGTTCAAACCTTTCACACACCACCTCAACTGTTTGCTCTTTGTTAGTGCTTATGAGCCTGCTTGACGTGTGATTTCACCAATTACATAGTTGCTATTAAGCTGGTATTTGTGATTTCTGTTATTTTTAGCTTTAAAATGCTCAGTTATATTTCATTAGCTGTTGGCATCAATACTGTAAGTTTTTCAGAGCCCTCTGTATGAAAAGCCCTTCTTCACAAGTCGATCATGACCTTTCTTTGCGTTAGTGCATCCAATAACTCATTGATTGCAACAGAATGAACTCCAGCAGCTGTAGTGTTGTTTTTCTCTTTACATGAACAGAAGGTGTGGCTGTGTGTGTGTCACACGGCAGCATCCATAGAGGCAGTCATGCTGCAGTGACCACGGGAGGGTTCAGGAGGTGGCCAAGGCACCCACAGCACCAGGCTCAACACAAACAAGTGGGGCAACCGTTCCCTGCTTCCTGGCAGCTGGGACCTAAAAAGACTATTCTTCAGTTGCCTTGACATGAGCCTTACAAACAGATCTATATTCTTCCTCCCATTGTAACTTGCATAATAATGATTCACACATAAAAAGCCAAAATGCATAAAACATCTTCACATGTGTAATACTCCATTTGAATTGCATGGCTCGTTTTGACTTGTGCTGGTACTGATGAGAGAGGAGACGTGTTCTGTGAAAATGTCATGACAGCTGAAGAGAAAATTATTGAATTCAACTTTGTGCATATCTGCTTTTTATCTCCTTCTAAAGTTTAACTAAAATTTAAAAGCAAAGACTATAGTTAGCTGGAGGCCTGAGGAGAGCTGTTGTTTCACTGAGGAGTGCTTTAAAAGAACCTCTGCCAATAAGACTGAGTGATCTCCTGACCAGAATCATCCAAGTGATTTGAATTCCCTGAAGAATGGAAGGCTTATCTGTCAGTGTATGCACAAAAGGACTTAAATCACTAAGTAAATAGTGACTCAGAAGACAGTTCTGTTAGCTCCTGCCAACACAGAGTCCAAGTCTGTCTTCTGTGGAGGTATGCTGAGGTATACTGACTTCTGCTGTCAAAAGAGTTGCCTTGTAGAAGACTGAAGGAGGTATAACTGCAGCAGTTCTGAGTATCCCAAAGCAGATGATTTCATTTTAGCTTAATGACCGTCTACAAACTTCACTGTGAAATAGCCACCAGACTACTCAGCAGTGCTGCTATATCTTAAAGCAAGCTTTCTTTTACAAGCCTGCACTTAAAAATCCTTAAAATTTTAAGAAACTTAAATGTGAGGTTCCAAATTGAGAAAGCTCGAGTCTAGATCCAAGGCAACAGGTTTGCCTGGTTTTTTGCTTCCACATCTGAATGTAGGTATTACACTGAATAGAGAATTTTCTATTTCTGTGTAAAGAATGTATGAGCCTACAGGTAAAAGTAGTTGTAAATTTTGTAGAGTCATTTCCTTGTGACTTTGCCGTCAATGAATATGCATCACCAGCCACCGTGTATTCCCCATATAGACATATATATTTATCTGAATTATAGAAAAGAATAAAACTGAGCTATGCTGAAGAGTGAGGGCCTCAAGTGAATCATTCAGTGAAATGAAACATTTACTGGAGATGTGAGCTACTGCGCAAAATGTTCTTTATCAACATACTCGAGTTCTCAAAACTAACAGTCTTCCATTTCCTGTTTATAACAAACCAGTTTGGAGTTGGACAACTGGAGTAAACTTTTTAAGTTACCTCCAAACAGAAAGATTCCTTCCAGCTGCTGCATTTTCCTCTTTGGTTGCTGGCTTTGACTTTAATGAAGCTGCACTGTAAAAGGTCCAGCTTACTACTGTCCAGGTGCTTTCAGAATAACAAAACCTCTCTCACGTTACAGAGCCAGAAATTCATGGTTCTTGAAATAATAGAGCTGCCTCAGCCCCTCAGTGGGTGTGTGTGACACGGCAGTGTGGCAGCTCAGCACAGGGACAGGGCGCAGCAAAAAGATCAACATTTCCTTCTCATAGAATCATAGAATCATAGAATCAGGAAATTTCCTTCTCCTTACTAACTTCTGTTGTGAGCTTACATAAAGCCTGGCTGGATTATCATATTTTAACACCTCAGAACTCTCCTAATATTTACAATTGGTAAGCATTTAGCTGACTCTTCCAGAAAATACATTTTAACGGAAACGCAAGGAAAGGAAAAAAGTCTTTAAAAATTACTCCACATAAATGCCTATAGCAGCATCTTTACACCAACAAATCTTTCCAGAGCCCTAGCTATGTAAGCTGAAATGCAAACCCTAGCAACTACAGCTCATGGTGAAATGCCAGATCACATGTATTAAAACCATAAAGGATTGGTTCCGAAATTCAAGATCAAACAAAATAGTCTTTAAAGTAAATGGGGTGGGGGGGAAACTGACTGCACTTCAAAAGCACAGTGGTGGAATACAGTGCAGTAGGAGCCTGAAAAAATGTTCCAGAAAAGGATTTTTCTGGGACAGCAAAGTACCTTCTAGTAAGAGAACAGGACGTGTGGCATAAGCACAATGCACTTTCACCTCTGGAGAGCATATTCAGCTTGGGGATCTTTTCCAAGCTAAAATGGCCATACAAGTAACAAGTAATTTTTGAGACAGGTTGGTGACGAGGTTAATAAGATGTTCTGTGCAGGCTTCCAGCATACAGACAAAGGAGGCATGGCCAGCTGCAGAATGGCATCTTCAAATCATCCCTGATCCCACGGCACAGCTTTCCCAGCTAAGGGAAAGCGCACCCGTTCGGATTTGGAAGTGTTCTGTAAACAATGAAAGTATTTAATTATTTAAGGGCAAAATAACAGTCCAGAATTAAATCTGAACAGGCATTGCAACAACCCAGTGCGGTGTTGTCAACACGTTGGTGTGTGCCTCCTGGAAAGGGGGGTTGCAGTTCCACATCTGACACCCATGACGTCTGCAGCCCATGAGGAGGGTTAAGTAAATAAATGCTGAATGTAAACAATGGACTCTCCAACAATAAGCACGTTGAGGCAGGACCCGCCAGACAGGGCCTAAGCAAGAAACACTGGGAGAGTGCTGTGCTGGAAACCATACCCATCACACTGTGGCTTTTATTTTATTGTGATTTTACATTTTATTCTGAAATAAGCCCAGCTCCCGGGTGCTGACGTTTCTGCTAGGTTAGCAGAAGTGCTATTTTTAAATGGCTCTGCACCTGGCAATAATGTATTGCAAATACAGAGGAGGTTTTGCTCCTCTGCAGCAAAAGGATTTGCCAGATGGGCTTTCCTAATAAATGGTGTCTGATAAAAGGACAAGAAGGTTATTTAAACAAAAAGATTTTAGCTATGCCATTACATTTAAAACAGATTGAGGATTTTGCCAGTAGATTAATTAAGGGAAAAATAATGAATAGACACAGTATTCTTTGGATGATGGCTTCTCTAGAAAGGAAGGCATGGGTGGCTGAGCACAACAAAAAGGCACAGACAAAATTAACGATACAAACAATAACAGAAAAATGGGGTCAGACCAAAGATCAGCTTGCCCAGTTTCCAGTCCCTGACAGAAGTGTTGTGCCACAGTCCCTGCCTGGAGCACATGCTGCTCCTCCCTAGCCTGGTGCCCCTGGGATGTGTCTGCAAACCGCCGTCCCTGCCAGGGGAACAGCCAGGATCTGGTGTGGGCAGGTGCCCGTGGTTCCTCCTGGGCCCTGCAGAGGTGTGAGCGTGGCACACGGGTCCTGCTGTCTGACTAACCTCACTGGTGAGCTACAGCATGAAGGGAAGGATTCCAGGCTGTGAATCAGTCTGGCAATTTCAAGCCACGAGTTAGGCACATAAAAACATTCAGGCTCGTGGCTTTCATGTCAAAGGTCTCACTGACTTCAGTGGACTCTGGATGAGACGTTGAAGGGCAAAAGGTTGGTAGTCCTGGTCACACCGAAGGTCATTCTGGTGTGTTGTGCTCCCTGTGGCTGTGGCCAATAGCAGAGGCACAGGAAAGGTGTAAATACATGCAAAATATAGAGACAGATAGAGAGATTCTCCCCTAAATGCTTCCTCATATGAAGCACAGCACAAGCAATGAAGCACAGCACAAGCAATCTGAATGCTTCCTCATATGAAGATTTGAGGTTGCAATTGCACAAGCAATTGCTGAACCAGAATCTGTCTTTCTAAAATACTCCAAGACTTTTTTAAAAACTGATTTTTTAGCATCTTGGTTAAAAGCCCAATGATGTCAGTTTTTACTTATGATAATGACTCCCCTCGGTAAAACACTTGTGTCCTTTGAATTGATGGCCCAGAGATTTACTCTCAAGTTCACTTTGTTTGATGTTGTTTTGCTCATACACAGCATGTTTTGCTCAGCTCATACACAGTCTCTGAGTTTTAGCTCTCCTGAGCATGCACTTAGTAAAATCTTCAATATCTTGACCTTTCATACAGCAGTCTGGAAATCTGTTCCTCTGAATTCTTTCTGTTCCCTGGCTTCCATTCATCAGTCTTTGGTTTTAGACTATCAATATATTAATGTTGTCAGAAAGGCAGGAATTTCCATAAAAGCTATTAAATAGAAGTTGCCCATCACTGCCTGGCTCTTTGCTTCAAACTGTCCAGCCAACTTGTGACTAAACATCTTGTCCTTCAAGAAAAAGGGACAGGATTAAGGGAAGAGAAGATGCCATCTCTGGGCACTGTTGAAGGAATCTGCAACTAGGAGTGATGCCACAGGTGAGCTGCATTGCAGTTGGTGGATTATTTATGGGCCACCAATTTAAGAAAGATTTGCATGAGGAATCCCCTTGTCTGCTGGGTTAACTTCACAAAAACTTGCCAAACCAAAGCAAAGCCCTGGCCAAAGCATCCAGAGGGACCCTGCAGTTTGAACAAGACACTGAGCAGTCGTGCAGGGTAGCTCTTTGTTATTTAATTTTTCTTTATTAATTCTGAGTACTTGATATTGACTCAAATTCATTCCATTAAATCCCTTTGGGCTGCACTGGAGTTGTTCCATTATTGATCTGGTTATCTGGAGGGATATAAGGTGTAACACTCAGGGTTATTAAAGTGCATCTCTGAAATGCTTAATCAAGACAACGGCTCCACCACACTGGTAGTGTATGTGTAAGGAACAGCAGACCCCTCCTGACATGAAACTGCCTTCCGTGGATTTTCTGACTTACTTTACCCTGGAATATTTTGCAGGAATATTTGAAATCATATTTTCTGTAATTATTTCTTTATTTGTGGAACCATTGATTAGAATTTTATGTCTTTCTGAATAGTATGTCTTAGTTCTCCCCTCTATAATTTTTCTTTTTCTCATTATTATTATATTGATTGCTTCAGGCGATGATCAGTTATAAACCAAACAACTCTTTCAACCAGAAAACATCTTAGATCCATCTGAGGTCCAGCTTTATTGAATGAGGTTGGCAACAGCATGTCACTGTGAGTTGTAATGTACAGTGGCATATTGCTCTGATACATGATGATGCTGAACTGGCTTTTATGGTGATTTAACATTGAAACGTTATTATACTGTGAGATTAAATTTTATTTAGAAAAGAATACGTCAGCAATAAAAGCAATGACTTCCACAGAGTAGGAAGACTATCACCTCATAAGAGCTTTGTAAAGCTTTAATGACAGAGATTCAGTTTAAGGATAAAATCAGAAGCCATGTCAGGAGATAATGTTAGAAAAAAGGCACACTGAATGGTATATAAGCTCACACTGAATGAAAGCAGATTAAGATCAGAGTAATCTTACCGATTTTTTGTTAGTTTTCCTCATAACTGTCTTCTGTTTAGGTCACAATTTAAGCACTTACTTAAATACATGTTTAACTGCTTTTATAACAAAGGATGGATTGAAAAGCAACACAGAGGAGCCCTGCTGGTTATTCCTGAAGACAGATTTTAGAAGCTTCACTATGAATTTACTGAAACTATGTTATTTTCAAGTTTTTAAAATCAATGCTTAACTGTAAATTCTTTCTATTTACAAGATGGAATTAGCAGGATTGGACACAAAGTGAAATAGAATTATAGCAGTATGGAAAATAACACTTGGATAGATAAAACTGTAGCTTGTACAGATAAAAGTAAATTTTAAAGATGAACCACAGCCCTTGGGTTTTTTTGGTCTTGCTGTTGTAATCCTAACACAAATTTATTTGATTTTCCAGTTTGTAAAAGAGAGACAGGGTTGAAATTAGTCTGTGGTTTGTCCATAACTCTGTTGTAACCAGAGTTGGCTAAACTGGAGGAGTTTCATACTTAGCTGGCCACCTGGATATACAACTTCACTTAAAACTGACAATGCTGTTCTCAGGGTCACATTGGTGTGGATGTGTCCAATTCAAGCTGGACATGGTTTCAGGGAGACAGGCACAGGCAGAAAGCACCAGCAAGACACACTGTGGGAGCAGTGGAAAGGCAAGCTCTGAGGAAGCAACTTTCTGATTTCTAAAGGCCACAATAACAGTGCATTGTATTGTAGTAACTTGCAATAATATTTTCCTGTAGCAGAAAATGTCCTAGATGATAGGACTGTCAAAGCACCTCCACGAACATGCTGCCATCCATTCGTTGGCTGCTGGGCAAACGACAGGATTTCATTTTAGTGTATCCTGGTGCTTATTGAGTCAACTTCATATTGCTCTTTGTAATGTTTATTAGTGTGTTTTCATATTTTATGTCTCATCAAAACATTTACTTTAGCAAACTGACAAACAGGACTTCCTCTCCTGCATTGCCTAGTATGTTTTCTGTGTTTTGCAGGACCCTAAATATTTCAAGTCGCAGAAGACTGGGAGAGGCCAATTAAAAGAAGGCTGGAGAGACACCCATCAGCCAATTATGTGTTCTTACAAACTTGTGACTGTGAAATTTGAAGTCTGGGGACTTCAAACCAGAGTAGAGCAATTTGTTCACAAGGTCAGTGAAACAGGAGCTGTTTCTTACCCTTCACATAAGCAGAACTTGAGTAGCACCCAGCACAGGAATGTAACTGTGGCTGTGTGGATGCTGGGGAGCTTGACCAAATCTGCTTTCAGACCTCTCCCAAGGTCTGGGAGATCTGGAGTGGAGCCAAAGAGTTAATCTCTGGGTATACACCTGACAAAGCCTGGAGCTGCTCAGGTCCAAGGCTGAGAAAAACTATCAATAACATTTTCAATTCTGTGATAAATGTATAAGCCCAAGTATTTATGAGGATACGTGAGTACCATAAAGTGTAGCAACAATGTGCAGAATTTCTTACAAAGAGGTAGTGGGAAAGGTTTCCAATCAGCCTACTAAAAAATGCATTAATGAATAGCATAGCAGCCAAATTATAATACTTTTCAGAGTATTGATCTTCCACATGTTTAAAAAACTAAGAAGGAAAAAGAAGAGTTCCTGAACATCTATTGCCCAGAGACTGATGGACTCTGTACAGGTTCCCAGGTGGCTTCCCATGCGATCAAAGCCACGCTGCTGTGATCCAGAGCTGGCAGCAGACCCACCTCCAGTGGGAGCCTGGGCTACAAGACCCTCAGAGCCAGTATGCCTGACTCTCTGGGGCATGTCTGTTTAGACACATAGCTGTAAGAATATTTTTCACTTTAAATCATGTTGAAAGACAACAGTGTTACTTTTCCAAACTGTTTGTGCTGCAGAGGTGTTTGACCTTTCCCTGTTCTGCAGGTGGTCAGAGACATCCTATTGATCGGCCACCGGCAGGCCTTTGCCTGGGTTGATGAGTGGTATGGTAAGTACTCTCTGGGTTTAGGGCTGATGCAAAGCTCAGGACAATTAACAACACGTGTTCCATTTGCTTCCACGGATCCTCGTGCCCTAGTCTAAGTGGTGCATGACAGAGACAGAACTCTGCTCAGTGTCTCGGGAGGACTGGGAGCCCCTCTACAGCAGGTGCCCTGCTAGGTGAGCAGGCTGTGTGTGGGCAGCCAGCAGGCAGCATACAGCCAGCACGTTACACCCTGTGCATCTCAGCATCTATGTGTCAGTCCCAGCACCCTGCACTGTGGGCAGATAGAAGCTGACCCTGCCAAGTCTGATCTACATGGAGAAACACATGCAGGTTTGACTAAAGCTTCTTACTAAGACTGCATTAACATGCAGTCATTTCCATGCTGCAAACTCCCGAGGCCTCTGATCCAACACAATTTCAGCTTTTTAGGAACATTTTAAACTTCTAAAATGGATTGCAGTAAAGAAAAGATGGAGCTTCACCATCCTTTCTGGAAAATGGATATAAAAGTAAAGCCTACTGGGTCTGATTCAACAGCAGCTGCATGCAAAATGGTTCTGAATCCACGAGCCAGCTGTAGGAATGGGCACTTCTAATAGTACAGAGTACTCTGAATATTGAGCCAGCCAACTACATTTCAGAAAATAAGCTCCCAGGGTTTGTGGGTTTTACATCTATTGGTAGCAAGATGTGTCCATAGTCAGATATTTGTTAAACAATTTCTAAGACATTCCTGTAATGTATCATAGGAATTTGGAAATAGACTCTCCTTAAGCTTCAGGAAACACCGCTTTAGGTATTTCATGGGTATGAATGACACTTGTCTTTCACCAAACCTCAGAAACATTCTGCATTGCTTAGAAATAGTCAATTAGGTCAGCAGGTGCAAACACACACATCTCCAGTGGCATCATAAATCTCCATAATTTTACATCAGAATCTAACAACAAGCTCATTGTGCTGGTATTTTGAACATACAGAAAAATCTGCTTTTGAAATCACAGTGTTCTCATCAGTTTAATATTGCCTGAAAATTTTGTGCAGTAATGATAATGAAAATACTGAAACCTACTAAAATTACCTTGTTTTAGATAGCTGTAAACTAGTAAAATAATTCTGTATCCAGTGAGAAAGAATTCTTAAGATATTTTTTCCCATTTTTTACCTGAAATACAGTAATCTGTTATTTTCCTTGTACAATGTCAGAGAAACTGATTAATTTAAATAAAGAAGCCTGATGTCATGTAAAACTTGAGCCCACAAATTTGCCCCAAGTCCACATATCTATTAAAGTGAGACATAAAGAAACGTTACTGGGAAGTGAAGAGTCATCTGCAACTTAGGAGAGTTATTGATAGTGGTAAGAAGTGAGGAGTCAGGAAGTTAAACATACAGAATAGGTTTAGCCCCCAAAATATTCAACCACAGATTTTCCCATCTTAACTCTGAATGCACCCTGTCAAAAATACTCTTTTTAGAAAGGAGATATTGTGATACACAATTATCTTGTGGATTTCTGCTGTCACAGTGAGTCTTTTTGCTAAATAATATAGTGTGCTTCTGTAAAGTGTCCGTGTGCCTTCAATGTGTCTATTACCATCTTTCAAAGTCAGAGTCTGAGGAGGACTTGTAGAGGATGTTAGTCAGCTAAACCGAATCACATAATCAGAGTAAAAAGATCAATTATTAAACAAGATGTCCTGTCACAGATATTACTGACTACTCTTATTGATACTGTAAGCATGAATGTGTCTTGTCATTAAATTTACTAAACTGCATTTAGCTTTATTATTAAGAAAACCTGTTTTCACAGTGCTATCTACTAATAAAGAGCATGTCCTGTGCTTGGCAGAGCGCATCCTTAGCATGTTATTGACATGGCTTATGAGCTTGGTTTTCATTCCAGATAACAGCAAAAGGAGAAGATTAAGAGGGTATGAGTTAGTGGGATTCCCTGTTTCCTCTTGGTCATAACCTTAGGCTGCTCAAGTATTACACTGTGCTACTCATATCACAGCTAATGTTATATCTGTCCTTAAAAGCTGTCTCATGAAACACAGTAAGAGCCTCAGTCATGGTGGGATTAAAAAACTCACAAAACCAAGTGGCACATAACTTGAGAAAGAAAGCACCATGTACCTCACCAAAAGGGGCACACACTCGCAAGTGCATTGTGCTAATAAAATGCTGTTTAAGTTTAATGAGTAAAAAGTTGATGGCTATTTTCATGAAGCTCTGAAGTTACCAAACCACTGTAAAGAACAGACCCAAATTCTGACAGCCTTCCTGTGCCTTTGCACCTACTCCAAGGAGATTCACTGAAAGCATGGGGAAATGCAGATGAGTAAGGTCACAAACTAGTTCATTGGATTCTTCATGTTTCCACAGGAAATGTGGTTTATGACAAATCTTTTTAAAATCTGCAATAATTGCTTGGAGTTGCATAACAAACACCTAACACGTTACGCACGAGTCTGACAACACCAGGCACGCCCAGAGAGTGATAAATGATCCTACCAGTAGAATCAGCCTTATTTGTAGACTATTTCTAATTCTTAAAACTGATTAAATTGTTTGAGGCTACAAAACTGTTACCTTATTCACTACTAATTTGCTTACCAGTAGAGTTAAGTGTTAGTTACTGGAATTGAAGCTGATGTGTGTTCTAACAGTAAGAGTGTTTGCTGGTTATGAGATGTACTATGCAAAGATAACACCAAATCTTTTTGAAAGGGCCTGGAAAGGTAAGTAAATACTTATAATATTTCTGTATCTGTCCTTTATTCCCAGGGATCTTCTAAAATCTTTTTAGAAGATCTCAGTCTTTGCCACACGGCCTGCACTTCAATACTCTTCGCCTACCTTACGTTACACAGATACTCCTAAACAATTTCCACTCCTTCCTGTTCTCTGACTCCCTTTGACTTAACCTTCACACCTTCCTTGGCTGACAGAACTACCTTTATGCGTCAATTTTCATAAAGCTAGTTGCTCATGCTTTCTTTTTAAATCCTTTTTTGGCTTCTGCTGAAAGACTATGCATTCCTAGAGCCTTCTCCTTAAAAAAAAACAATAAATTGAAGTTTGCACTGAATCAATGGAAAATGCCAACAATTTTGAACTTTTTACAGATATGACTATGGATGATGTTCGAGAATACGAGAAAAATATGCATGAAAAAACCAACATTAAAGTTTGCAACCAACATTCATCTACTGTGGATGAAATAGAGAGCCATGCCAAAGCAAGAGTATGTCAAGTTTTAAAACGTATTGCCCATCCTCAGCTAATACACCTGCACAGATCAGAGAAGAGCAACCAACCAATCTTGCTGACCAGTCAGGGGGATTTTGGGGAGGTTTTGCTCCAGTAGGAACAGAATCTTCCTCCGTGAAGTGCAATCTTGCCTTTCCTTTGCCCTGTAAACTGCCACTGATGTAAGAAAGGGTGGGGCTGGGCTCAGATACAACTCCCCGTCTTCCAGGAAAACACAGCTCTCAAATTTCCATTGAATGCATCAAGAGGAAGTTAAACTGGAGTTTCACTTTCTGTTATTTGAATAGTTAAAAAATGCAGGAGTTTGGAGTGTTTCAGTCAAAAAGCCAGGAACAAGTGGAGTGGAAAATTTCTATGGAACTGATAAAATCACTTTTTCAACAGGGGAAAAAAAAAAGCAACTAATGAATTATTCACTCTTTTCAAACTAATTTTAATGTTATTGATTATCTACCAACAAGGTGAGAAGTATTTTCAGAAGTAACAGGAGTTTGTGGAGAAGGGCAGGTTTCTGTGTAAGTTCTTTAATTTGGATTCTGGAAATCTCCTAAAGTAGTTAAGTTCCTAATTTAGGCACCTCAAGAAATCATTACTCTGTACAAATAGAAAAGATGCAGTGGTATTTGCTTTTGAGATGTTATTATTCCTGTATTTCTACTAAACTGCACTGTAGAACTCAGGGATGGTTTTACTTTTGTAATGAGTGGGGCCAGGCCTGAAGGCCTTGAAGTCTTTCCTTTGTTCTTACTTGGGAAAAATTGTCACCAGCCTGAGAAGACGTTTTCTAAGTAATACCCAGTAATTTATTTGTGATGCTGCAGCTCTGCTGACATCAAGGTTACTCCTTAGCTGAGCAGTAGGCTGAGAATCAGTTCTGACTTTGGTTGTACTCTTCAGGATTTGGCTCTGAATGGAGTCTGGCATCCTTAGTTCCCATGTGGAAAAATTGCCATTGAGGTCAGAACAGAATTTGTCATTAATGAAAAAAAAACCCAGAGTCTGAGCCTTCCTAGCTCAGGGTAAGGACGTGTTTCACAAGAGCGTGTATCGGAACAGAAGGGGATTTAAAGCAAGTATAAACTAAAAAGCAAAAGTCAGCTGAAGGGACAGTATTTCATATCTGAATGAATTAAAATGAAGTCTTGGAAGCTGCCACTTAGCCAGACTTTAATCAGTCTTCACTGAACTGCCCAGTAAACTGAAAAATCTTCCTGTCCTTTTCACTTTTGTTTATCCAAGATTGCTTTTATTTCACCTTGTACAGAAGTCCAGGGTAAAAAATAGCAGAAAAGAATGCCTGGGTCCCTCTGATGTCAGGGTATTTTAAACCCTCTGAGTTGAGAAACACTCCACTCGCTTTACAGGGTGTGAAGCAAAATGCAGATCGTCAAAACAGGTTCAAATCTATCTCCAACCCAAGTAGGTACCATTCCTCTGAGACCATCTGTTCCTTTCCACCACTTATCTCAGATCCGAAAACAGCTCAGTCCTCACTGCTAATAACTGGCAATGTAGGCTGGAAAGGTCCCTGGAATGTCCTCTGCAGGGGAGAGCAAAGGCAGCTGGCAGCACACGTGCTCCTCTTTGGTTAATGCCATGTTGTAATACAATGTAAAGCTGCTTCTCCATGACTTGGGCAGCCAAGGCTACAGATGCATGCAGCTGGGTGACACTGAACAGTGCTGGTGTGCTGAAAGGACAGGGGTTCATCATACACCTCTGTCCTGGTTTGAGTCACAACAGAACTCATTCTGTTCACAGATTTTACTGCTCAGCACCACTGCCAGTCCTGTGTCTCAGGGAACCAACTGTGCAGGAATTTTAAACTGATTAAAAAGCTAGTGTTTTTATTTCTAGGGGTTTTTTTGAGCTTTCAGAGCTCAGAATCTATAAAATGCCTTCATGGAATACTTCAGATTTTCAAATTTAACATAGTGTTCAGTGAAAACCATTACGTTTATTTCAGTTGGCTCCGTGGACATCTTTCAGGCGAGGCAGACATGAAGGAGCAGGTTTCAGAAGAGCCTTCCTGATCTTTTGCCCAACTTACCACTCAGTAGCAGATGTGATTCGTCCGGGCTTTCATCGGAAAAGTTTTGCGGGGCTCAGCTCAGAGCGCATCTCTGCTGGGATCGCTCTGCCCTCTTGTGGGTTCCTGCAGCACTGTGACACGTTTGTCACCTGCAGGAGAGGACTTTCACTGCTCTCTGTGGACCCGATTCTCTGCTGCAAAGTGGCTTTAAGCTCTCATCTCATTTTACCTCTATTCTGCGGGGAATTAAGCAGTGCGTTTGATAGTTGGTCATAAATGTTTAAGCGCAGATTCTGGATGGAAAAGTTGGAAAGCGTGTTGTGGCTACATCAAGTGAGAGGGAATTCTTTGGGCTTTGTTAGCAGAAAAGCACAACTGCCTCAGTTGTGTGCATGCAGCTGTGACTAGAAGTCCACGGAAGCTGTGCATGGGGGAGAGAGAATTTTTCATCCCTTGACAATTACAGCAGAGGAACAAACCCACCACAGCCCTTCCCCAGGTCATGCTCGTAACTGAAAGGGGAAACACAAAACCTCTTATCAGTTTCATTTGAAGTTCTGAAAAATTCTCCTTGGTGACTGTGTATCCAAATGTGTTTAATTGCCTGTGAAACAGCTTGATTTTTCCAGCAATTACAGAAGTAGTAAATGTTTATTCAGTTCAGACCCAGGCAGAAGAACCATTAGCATGTGATTAACGTACCTAAGCTCGTTTCCTTTATGATGGCCCCTTACTGTACTCCAGTCGGTGCATATGATAGGAAGGCATTCGTGTGGAGTATCAATTAATGATCTGCATGCCAAGCAGTCATTCCCCTGAGTTAGAATTTGATTGGGAGTAGTTTACTGAGTTAATGAAACGGTCATTTGGAATTATTCTAACATGCCTTTATCTTTCTTTCCTTCTTGTTGAAGACATGACAATGGATGAAGTCCGAGAGTTTGAACGAGCAACTCAGGAAGCTACCAACAAGAAGATTGGGATTTTCCCACCTGCAATATCTATCTCTAACATTTCCATGCCTTCGTCAACCCGCAGTGCTCCATCTAGTGCTCCATCAACTCCTCTCTCCACAGATGCTCCTGAATTCCTAACAGTTCCCAAAGACCGGCCTCGGAAAAAGTCTGCTCCAGAAACTCTCACTCTTCCAGATCCAGGGAAAAAAACCTTTTAAGTTAACCCAGCATGCTTCCTCCTGATAAGCCATGTCTACCACAGCAAGAGTGACGTAACTCAGTTTCTACAAAGGTCATGGTGGTTTGTTGGTTGTTTTTTTTTTTGGCTTAAAATAATTGTACTGCTGTGGAAAGATTACTGCTTTCCTCAGACTTGATCCTTAAAGCTTTCAGAGAAGTGCATGCAAGAGAACGTAGTTTATATATTCCTAAAGTAGTGTTTCAAGTCATATGGTGCATCTTATTGACGTACAATGAAACAGTCTGAGAGGAACCCTGTAAAAGAAAATAAATCTTTCTGTAGCAGTATTCTACCTACAAATCCTCATCTAGGTCAGAGAATTTATAATTAGGAGTAGCTATTTAGTAGAGCTGCCAAGGACTTCTGAGGCAAATTAGTGCCAACTAGAATGCAGGGTTAACAGGAAAAAACCCTCCCGTTTTCTTCTTTTCTAGCTGGTTTTAAAATCCTTCCTACTCTCAGGCTCCTCCTGTGCATTCATAAACCTTTGACCTGTAACTCATTGTACTTGAACACCAACAGCAATCACTCAGATTCACATTTTGCTCAATATGACTCAGGACTTGGGGCCTAGCTAACAAACACAAAACTTTTCAAAACTAAAATATCACTGTATTGAAGCCCCAATTGTAATTAATTATACTGACTTTGAGGCCATTGAACTATTTCTATCTTGCACAGAATTTGTAAAAAAAACCCACCTATTTCTTGTAGATAATGTATTTTAATAGCTCTCCCCTGTCCTTTTGTGATCTCTTAAGTCTTGGTGTTCATCAATGGTGTTCCATGTATAAAATTGAAAAAAAAAAGCAGCTAAATGGAGCCAGTTGAGAAGCAAAACCAATGAATTCTGTCTTTTCCTCACTGGAAGAAGAGTGGTAGCTATGCTGTAAGACCTTGAATGTAAAGGAAAGAAAAATAATGCAACTCTTTTCTTTCCTGCCTTGCATCTTTCCTAAACAGCACAATCTCTGCTAACAGAAAGCTGGTTCCAGGCTTTACTATCATGTAGGGAA